AAATTACATATTTAATATTTCTTTTATGTGTTTAACATATATATTATGATAAAATAAGTTTAATTATGTTTTATTAAAGTTATTAAATACTGTGAATAGTTATTTTAATGATGATTTAATCAAAATTTGTTCAATTTTATGTCAATCCAATATCTTTAATACCTATTAGGGTGTTTGTTATGTTTATAATGTTGAAAGAGAAGTAATTAGTGAAAAATTAACTATATTAATCACGTAATTAGTGTATATAATTATTTTAATACTTCTTTTATGCATGTAACATATTTATGATGATAAAATATGATTAGTTATGATTTAATAAAAATACTTAATGTTGCGATTAATAATTTATGATCGATATTTGGTCAAATTAATATGTTTATACTTTATAGTTTATTTGATTTAAATTTGATAGGATCATGGCACTCATCATGGGTTCATGCCCGAAAGCTAGATGGAAACCGTCATCATTGGCAATGTATTTATTGTGACTACATTGGCAAGGGTGGAGGAATAACTCGAGTGAAAATGCATTTGGCTGGTGGATATCCTGATGTTGCAAAATGCAAGAATGTTCCAACGGAGATCCGTAAATTATTTCAAAGCAAGCTTAAACAAGCAAAGGAAGATACATTAAAAAAGAAGGCAAGAGTTGAGGAAGAATATCATAGGGCTACACAGGAACCAGTTTATGATCAGTATGAGGGTTGCGGCGATGAAGTCGACCCGGATCTCACAACTAGGATTCGTGCATCATTGGAGCATCAGCATACGGTCGATGAAGCAATGAGGCATCGACGACCTGACTCACAATTGGAGCATGGCAATGGTAGTGGAATCCAGAGGTCAACCAGCATGAGGCAACCAACAGCTCCTTCTCAGTTAGGCCGAACTAGTAGCATGAGGTATGGTGGACTCCGTGGTTTTATGAGAGGTCTTGGTAGGAGGTCCGCACCAGATATTGTTGATATTGATCCGCAAGCCTATCCCCCACAAACAGCGAAACAGACACGGATCGACGATGCATACACAAAAGAAAAAAAACGGGATATTGGGAAGGCAATCTCAAAATGGTTCAACTTTAATAGGATTCCAGCCAACACAGCCCAAGGTCCATATTATCAGAGCATGATCTCTTCTATTCAAAAGTCTGGCACGGGGATCCAACCTCCAACACCGAAGGAGATTTACGGCGTGTACTTAGATGAGGAAGTGGCAGAACTAAAGGATTGGATCAAATCCTTCAAGAGGCAATGGGACGAATATGGGATGACATTAATGTGTGACAGTTGGATAGGACCAACAAGAATGAGTATCATCAACTTTCTTGTTTATTGCAATAGAAAAGTGGTATTTCATAAGTCCGTTAATGCTACTGAAAAGATCCAAGATGCAAAATACATTGAGAGCTTGATGGATACTATGGTAGAGGAGATTGGACCACAGTATATTGTCCAAATAATAACCGACAATGGAGCGAATTTTAAAAAGACCGGTTTGCAATTGATGGAAAAAAGAAAAACTTTGTTTTGGACTCCATGTGCAGCTCATTGCATAGATCTAATGCTGAAGGATATTGGTGAGTTGAATTCGGTCAAGAATTGCGTAGCTCGAGCACAATCAATTACAAAGTTTATATATAATCATCATTGGGTCCACGCATTAATGCAAAAGTATGTAAACAGTGAGATACTTCGACCTGGAATTACTCGGTTTGCTACCAATTTTATTGCATTAAAGTCATTACAGCAAAAAAGGCATGGCTTGAAGGCAATGGCTAGCTCACAAGAGTGGTCTGAATCAAGATATTCGAAATTGAGCGATGGAAAGAAAACAGAAAAAGCCATTCTTTCCTCTAGATTTTGGGAGACTATAGCAGAAATCATTAAAGGTGTGGAACCACTTTATATTGTCCTCCGTAAGGTCGATATGGACAAGCGTCCACAGATGCCGTATCTTAAATATATGCTGATTTCAGCAAGAGAGGAGGTTAGGAAAGCATTCAAAGATGATTTTAAGGCCGACCAATACGTACGAATCATTGATCGTCGGACCGAAGTTCATATGGATCAAGATATCCATAATGCAGGTAAATTCATATTCAGAATAATTTAATTTATTATTATTTAGATAATAAAAAATTATACTAACAAAATTATGTTTTGCAGCGTATTATCTAAACCCGGCAATTCGATATCGATATGCTCTCGGAACGCAAAATAATTTCCTAACGACATTACAAAATGTTATATATCGGCTCTTGCCAAACACTACCGAGGCAGCCGATGCTCTTATGGAGGGTCGATTATTTCAAGAAACAATTGGTTCATTCTCCAACGTTGTAGCTGTATAACATGCGATTAAAATTGCGATGTGCTGAGTTGGATAAGGAGCCAGAGGAATCAGATATTGATCCCATTGACCTCCAATTCTACAACGAAGATTCAGAGCCAATGTTAGATTGGATTGAAGCAGCAGAGAACCAAGAGGATCCTCTACTTGATGAGGCGGGAGATCCTTAGTGTCCTTCACGTTTTATCACCGAGGCAATAGAAGAAGAAGAAGAAGCACAACCCCAACGGGTGGAAAATCCCCCTCGATTACAACATGGTAGGAGTCAAACTGCTCGAGGAACTACCGACACCCAACGGTCACACTCGTCCCCCCAACGTGCAAAGGCAAAGGGGAAGGCAGTAGCATCAGTTGCATCGTTGGAAAAAATAGGGTCGGACGACGAGACACCTTCACAATCACATTCTCTTTCTCGCTCGGTCCAGAGACATGACAACAACACGGACAGCAGTGCCTCGACAGATGATGGCGGTGATGCCGGGCAGTCGTTGGTCTCGTCTACACAACTTGAGAGTAGTGAATGGACTGAGGAGCAATATTTTACACATGCCACTCAAGATTCAGATCATGGAACTCGACAAGGTACTGGTCAAGTTTATGCGCGGAAGGGGAAGGGGAAGGCAGTGGATAAATATGAACAAATACGACAGAGCATACATGATATAGACACAAAAAGAGGCTCATCGTATTATGGAGAATCATACATGCAACAACAATATGGTGATAGTTGGTCATCCTTCTCTGAGCAACAACATTATACAGAACAGCACCAATATATGCCTCAAGAGCTGCCTCGGACAAATATAATTCATGACGATCAGTCTACGATCAGCACCACATTGATGCATCAATGGCACATAGTGTATCAATACACTATGTCATAGGATCAATTTCATGATTGGGTCCAACAAACGTATCATATTGATATGTATCGGATCGAGGACCCCGATCCACCACCCGTGGAAGCCTGTCGTTCGTTTTGGTGGTAGAACAACAATCAGGTATATCTAGATATGTGATAATTTATTTCATTTGAATTTTAGAGTTTATATTGTAACAAAATAGTCTAACAATTCAACTGATTTTTTTGTAGATATTTCAATCTATAACGGGCTGAAATACGAACCTCGAACAAGACTACCTCAAAGCCTGAAAAAGATATGTGATACTATTTTTACCTAATTTACATTGATTTTGCTAAACTTATACTATTACTATATTTATTTGTAACTTGAAAATCCTATCCTAACTTTTTTTTTCTAATTTTCAAGTATTTTGGAGGGATAAATCGGTAAAATCGGGTGTACCGCTCGGTACACCTCGGTATACCGGTCGATACACCCGTACCGTACCGTACCGAGCCCGGGTCGAAACTCCGGTACGGTACGGTATGGCGGACCTTGGTGGATAGTAAGAAGGGTTGGCCCCTTTTTTATTATGTGGTGCGCGTAGCAAAAAGATTGGAGCAGCGATTTGTGGAGTGTCTTCGCAGCCCCTACTATATAGATTACCACTAGAGAGGAGGATAGTTGACCTCCTTCATCCTCTTCCATAGATTTGCAGGAATTCAGGGATATATGATCTCCCTAAGTAATACAATTTTCTTATACGCATAGTTTTGGGGTTTTGCATGTTTTTGTGCATCAATCTTCACACGACGACAAGAGACTAATTTTTTTGTGAAAATCTAGGAATTTTTGTTTCTGTTCTTCCGTTGCATATATGATGTCATCTCAGATTTCCCAATAAGATTTAGGCCTTTACTATATTAAAGATTCAAATCATTGCTTGTTAGTCTTCGTGAGGAGTTTAGTACTATTTCTTATTTGCACAAGCCTATTCTTAAATTTGACCAGATGTTATGCCTTCTGCACGAAGTCTAGTTAAAGATTTTAGTGGTCCTCTATCTAGTAAGTTTGGAGGCTCTAGGTCAAGAGGTATTCTAGATGGTCTTAGAAGTTTTTGGATGGAGCAACTTGATTCAGTTAAATTTTCGAGCAGTATAAGAAAGGATATGGATGGTAACATTCACATGCACCCTGGAGAACACTTTGGTCCGGGTCGTATTTCTATAGATGATCCTATACTTGGAGGTAGTTATGGGCGTGGCCTTGCAAATTAAACCGAGACATATCTCTAAAAGTATACATTAAGGGGGGAGTGTTAAAAAGTTAAAGTATATTTTAAAAAATCATAAATTAGTATTTTATATCTTAAATGAGATTAGAAAGAGTTTTAGGGATAAAAATTTTTTATTTTAAAATATATTTTAGAAGATTTCAAATAAGATTAGATAGAGTTGTAGAGATGAGAGACTCTTATATTTTACATCTATAAATAGGTGGCATCTGCATGTAGATAAAAAAAAACCTCAAGTATTCAAATCAAGTCTAAGAGTTGTTAAAGATCGGTGCAAGTGTTTTCCTTTTGAGAAGTTTAATAAAGTTTTTCCTTTTCTGCCTAGGTTTTTTCTTTTTTTATTTGATTTGATCTTAGACTAATATTACTATTTGAGAAAGGGTTGTACTTGCATGTGATCATTTTTTTCCCTCACATTAACTACTACAGTATCTTCTTTTTTTTTCTTTTTCTCTCTCTGTTGCGCAGTTTTGTTTTGAATGCATAATTACTTTCCCTAAAATTTTCAGAATGATGTACGTGATGTTTTGGACCTTACTCTCAGCATGGATACAGATGAAGAGAAGCTGATATTACATGAGAGGGCAGAGGTAGTAGTCGCTACTATTTTTCCTTCACGAAATTAGGTAGTATATTACTAGGTCCAGTATAATAATTGTGTATCAAAAATTGACATTTATTTCTGAGTATTGATATATTTGCACAAGGTTCGAAGTCACAACAGACCTTCACTTGTATTTTTGACTTGCATGACATGGTGTCTTGATGCACTTGAGAATATGTATCATGGTCATTTTCACAGTGCATGTCCTGTTTTGCAGGTAGATGATTTTGAGTTGATACCTGGTGGGAGAAATATTACGGTTGGTGGGGAAAATAAACATGAATATGTGACTCATGTAGCAGAGAATTGGCGAACGACTGCAATTAGGCCTCAGATTAATGCATTTATGGAAAGTTTCAGTGAGTGAATTCCTCGGGATCTGTTATCTATATTCAATGATAAGGAGTTGGAACTATTAATAAGTGGACTTGCAGACATTGATTGCGAGTGAATCTATTCTTCTTGTGTGTAGGAAAAAATGTGCATGGAAAGCTGCTATTGTTTTTTTGTCTTACAGACTAACTACGTTCCACCTCCAATCAGTGGATGATTTACGAGCAAACACCGAGTGTTTTGGCTACAACAATGCATCCTCCATCATCCAATGGTTCTGGGAAGTTGTTCAGGGTTTCAGCGAGGAGGATAGTAGAGTTCGATTCCTGCAATTTGTCTCTGGCACCTCCAAGGTATCTTTCTTTATCTGAAGCCTCCAGCTTTCCGTAGTAGATCTATGCCATAAACTTGATCTTATCTGGAGCTGTGAAGTATATTGATTCGTCGAAATAACTGGGTTTCATCCATTTAGAGATAAAATCCTTGGCTCTTTTTAACTCGGTTCTCTCTAGCTCGGTGGCAAGCAAGATTAACTCTTTATGTCGCTACATAAATATAAAAATGTGATAATACGTACATATAACATATCCTGATTCTAATTGGGATGCATGCACATTAATCAATTTTGGTGGTTTAAAATTTTATTCTTGGTTTGTCAAATATGTGATTAGTGCTTGGCAAGTGCCCCCACTCAATTTGCAATTTGCTTGGCTCTATGATTATAATTTTCAGTGTGATAACGTTTAGGGCTCTTCAATGCATTTTTAAGATATTTCCGGAAGACATAAGATAGCCCCTTATGTTGTGTCCTATTAGGATCGGAGCGGCACTAAGAGGGTGGGTGAATTAGTGCAGCGGTAAAGTGCAATAATCTTTTGACAATTTAAACACTTTCGGAAACTTCGTACGATAAAAGCAACGTTTTCGTTTGAAACCGTTTCGATTGCGTTTTAACTTGAAGAGATAAGTAAGACGGAGACAAAGAAGTAGAGCATTAAAGTGCAAATGGTTTACAGTAATATAAATGACAATAAGTAAATGCAAACCAGAGATTACGTCGATTTTACAGTGGTTCGGTCAAATGACCTACATCCACTTGCGAGGCCCCTCTTCGCTGAGGCTCCCACCTTCCACTAGCAAATCTTTTGAAGGGGAAGGGTAAATACCCGTCTTACAACTATTTACAAGCGGTTTACTCTCTTACAGATTTTCAGCAAGAAAGAAGGAGGTGAACACTAGCAAATTGAAAACAAGACTAGCAAAGACTTTTCTAAGACCTTTCTCTCAATTAATTGCTTCTCAAAAAGTTGTGATCTCAGTTGAGATTTGAGGGGTATTTATAGGCCTCAAGAGGATTCAAATTTGGGCTCCAAAATTTGAATTCTCTTTGGGTTCCCGATGCTGGCGGTGCCACCGCCTGTCAGTGTCATGTTGAATCTCGGATTTTGATGATGAAGTCGATTGTCATTTGTTGTCTAATCTATGTGTTGAGATAAGTATGCAGGATTAACTACGATG